GATTCAACCTTATAAGAGTAAGACTAGTCACTTTAAAATATGTGGTGACTTTAATTTTTATAAAACCTACCTTGGATGTGTATGAATGCTCTTTTTCTTCTTGTTTGAAAATATTATAATAAAAATTCTAATCTCTAATTTATATTATTATACACCCAATAATTATCGTACAATAAAATTCCCTATGCATTCTTTAAATTTGACTTTATTCTAGTTTCTATGATTTGCTCTAGGTATAAATGTTCTCTAGGTACTTAGGCCTTGTTTATCATAATCTAAAAAAGTTAAAAACTCAAAAAGTTACTATTCTATTTAAGTCACATCACTTCAAACCCAGCCCATACCCAACCTATATTTCATAAAAAATCAAAACGTACATTTATTTAGATCATCACAAACCATCCCTTATATTTGAATCCTTCTGGTACTGGTACCTTCTTTTCTTTTTTCTTTTCTTTTTTTATAATGATGAATAAAGTTATTTTTTCACCCAAAAGAAAAAATAAAAAAAAATAGAGGTAATGAATCAAAATTTTATAGAAGCAACCAAGATACATATGAGACACCCTTTTTCTTCCCCTATAAATATGAGAGGGTAACTTATATGTAAATTGAGCCGAGCTGGATGATGGGCCGTTCTGTGGGTCACAGTAAAAGGGCTAAGTAAAAGAGCTTTGTAGTTAGCCCGGTCCAAAAGAGCTTTGTAGTTAACCCGGTCCAAAAGAGCCTTGTCGTTAACTCGATCCAAGAGAACCTTGTATTTAGCTCGGTCACCGCTGTTAGAGTGATGGCAGTTAGCTCGGCCATACCCTTCTGAGCCGAAGTATTTTTGAGCTTTTCTTAGAACCTTGCTACGGTTTAGCTCGGTCCAATCTCGTTATGGTTAGCACGGTCTCAGCAGAAGAAGCCGATGTACACGCAGTGAATAGGAGAACCGAGCTAGGTAAAACTCGATCATTTCAGCTCGTATAGCATGGTTGTGATAGTTCGGTCGTTTTGTCATACCACCGAGGTAAAACCATCTCACTTGATTTAAGCAATGAGAGGGTGTTGAATGATAAGCATTATCTTTCAGGAGTGTGATTCCTAGGAGGACTCTGCATGGAGGAATAAGAGTCCTACTAGGATTGTGTCACACGGAATCTATAAAAGCTCATAACATCATCTATAGAGAGGAAATACAACTTTGATTCCCGAATACACAGAACTTTTGTCTATTTGTCTATTTTGCTGACTTAGGCATCAAAGAGGTATCTGGCATACAGCTACTGGCTACCTCACGTTTGTGTACGTTTGTGTTTTCAAGGAGTAAAGCGACGACATTTGGAGGAGCGCAGACTTGATTAATAAGATTATACGAGAAGATTATTTCTTACTCGTATAAAATATATATAAAAGAAAATAAATCCTCAAAAAAAATTGAAAAAAAGTGAAGGCTAGGGAGTTACTCTCCCATAGAGATGATGGCAAAACAGACGTTATGAAATTAGTGCATTATAATTTATATGTCAACGAGTACAAGGATAGCTTACTATGAAGTCCATTTTGAACACAAAAAAAAAAAAAAAAAAAACCTACTATAAATGCTTTAATTTATGTCAAATGCCAGAGACATTGCAAACATATATTTATATATGGGGTGGCGTCTTTTCGGTTCGTGATCGGATTGAAAGATATTATTGAGTTTGTGAAGGTTTATTATGAATTCTGTTTCGATAATTTGAATCGTTAGAACTCGTTGAGTACTATATGTCTATAACAACTCACATTGATTAGATATCGATAATTACGTGATCAAATCAGTTTTGTATAAAAAAAATGAACAGTGAAATAATAAACGATTGATAAAAATCTGATCCGATAAGATAGCTATCGATATTCGATCAACGTAATTTTTTACAGACATATAATACTTGATGAGTTCTATATATTAAACGGTTCAGATGATCGAAACAAGATCCATAATAAACCACTACAAGCCTAATATTATCATTCAATCTGATCACAGACTAAAAACAAACTCAGTCCTTTGTATATATAGTACATACACATACTATAATAATATCAATTTAGTATTAAAATCTTCCCAACATCACATGCAGCTTCGTTGGCATATATTTTAGTGAAATGATGGCTCGTTTGGTTTGATTTTGGGAAATTTTTTTTGAAAATATACTCTACGAATAATTTTTTAAGAGTAATCAAATTAAATAAATTTTTTTAAAAAAATTTTCAGAAATGTGTTTGGTTATTCAATTTTCAGGATTACTTTTGAAACATGTTTGCAAAAAAGATAAACCAAATAAGTTTTTGTACTTTTTTATCTCAAAAACTACTCTAAAAAAAAATTAAAATTATTTTAGAAAGAATATTTAGAAAAAGACAAACCAAACAAGTTTTTGTACTTTTTTATCTCAAAAATTACTCTACAAATACAAACTAAATACACCCGATATCTTTTGTAAGTTTCTATGTAGAACTGAAAATTGTTAAAATTATTAGAAAAAAAAAGGAAGAAAATTGTTATATTTAAATGAATTTTTTTATTTTATCTCTTAACACATTAATTGCTTTGGCAAGTTAGCAAAAAGTTAATTTTTAGTTTTTTTAGCTAAAAAAGTTAACTTTTTACCCAAGTCATTACCTTTTTTGGTTAAAAAAGTCAAAAATTAACTTTTTACCAATTTTCTAAAACACCACTAAGCAACGAGTATCTTCGTATGTAGTAATAAGAAAATGGAGTAAAAAAATTATGTGCAACATTATTTTATAAATTTTATGACTAGGAATGATAATAATAACTCTTTAAAAAATATAAACTATTCTGATTAGTTATTTAATTTATAATGATAAAATCAAAATTTTATGACATTATTTGTTATTAATTTTTAGTACAATTTTTTATTTATATAATACTAGTCATGTTTTATTAGTCATATTTTATTCCATTTTACTTTATGGTCGGCTACTTCCTTTCCACTTTGACTGACTTCAACGTCCCAAATTTAGAACAAAAGCTTTTTATTTTTTATTTTTTTGTCAACTTAAACAAACAAAAACAATACAAATAAAATACGATTATTTACATGAAAACTTTTAAGTTGTTTAAAAAATATTATATTGACCTTTTAAACTATACAAATATACAAATATATATTTTAAATTATTAAGAAGTATTATTTTACTCCTTAAATTATAAAAATATACAAATAGGTCTCTTAAACTATTGATATCCCTTCCATTAGGGGGTTAAATTTGTACAATTTTATAATTTATGAGATTTATTTGTATATTTTTATAGTTTAAGGAATAAAGTGATATTTCGTAATACTTTAGGAGGTCTATTTGTATACTTTTATAATAAAGTGGCACTTGTTAATAATTTAAGGGCATATTTGATTGGGTAGATTAGACCATGGGATTGAGATTATTAATCCGTGGACCCAATTATCCTATGTTTATTTTAACATTTTGGTTTAGGATTATTAATACAATGGATAATTAATCCTACAAATGTGTAGGATTATTAGTAATAGGGTAGGGGTGAGATTATTAATCTAATGGATATTAATCCAATTAGATAGTGAATACCATACTAATTTAATAAGATTATTAATACTTCACTATTAGTCTTGTGAATCAAACATGACTTAAGAGTTTCGTGTAAATAATCCAACAAAATATTACTTTGTGGTATTGTTTCTCAACTTATTCATAGTTCATTTGTGAGCCCATCCTTGAAATTTTAAACTACTTCATTTGAGTTTTTGAGAGAGAGGGAGACGGAGAGTTTCATGAAAATGGA